GTTCTAAAAAACAAAACAGAAAGGGGACCTTTAGGCACTTCAGAGTGACTAAGGAGCTGCATGTGAAGGAAAACAAGGTGCTTGCTGGGGTTTGTGTGGAGAGATAACAGACTTAATTACATGGTCCAGGAGCTGTAGATAGAAGAGAGAAAACACGAGTGCTGAGAAGGAGATGGATGTTGTGTATCCTGGTAGGAGAGGGGCTCTGGTGATCTTTAAAAGCTGTTCTCAGTGAACAGTTTGAGTTCTCATGATCTGTCTCCCTCCAGGAAAGCTTGGCTCCTTTGTAGATATGTGATGTCTTCAGGGACTGGGGATCAGAAAAGCAAGTGTTGATGATTATAACATGGGTTGAACTGTCAGATGTTGATGGTATTCTCCAGGGAAGCATCTCTGGGTCCTCTCAGCTTGCTGTGCTGTTTGCTTTAAGATAAGACATCAAAGCTAGGCAGGAGCCATAAATGGGTGGGTACTTAATTATCAAACTAAGTGAAAAGTGTGTAAGGATAAACAGGTAGAACTCAGTCCTGTGATGGATCTCCATGGCAGCTGCTGAAGGGTCCTCAAAAACGATCATTTCATGTTGTACTCACACCTACTGATGCATGGTGAGGAGTGGAGGATGGGAGTCCTGGAATAAGCCCTGTAAGCAAACTAACCTGCCACTGTCTGGGAGCAAGCCTTCCCTTTGGGTCTCACACAGGCCTGTTAATTAAGATGCTTCTGGAAAGAAAGTGCAATAGGACCAACCCTTGGGCTTTTGGAGTTCACGTACCTTGACATTAGGGGCAGGTAAAGCTGTGCTTGCTCCCTGGCTTCTCTGCATGAGGCTGAGCCTTCCCTGGCTGCAATGTGATCCTTGGGCATGCCGGGAGCCTGCCAGGTTTTGGGCAGAGCGCTGAGTCAGAGCTCCAGCTGGAGTGGAGAAGTCAGGAAAGCCTTTTCCGAGATGGTGCCGCCTCTGCAGTGCTTTGTTGCAAATCAGAGGGCTCGGATTTGTACAAACCTCTGGACTCCCAAGCAGCAGAAATGTTAAACTTCCAGTAGTTTTTGTCCAACGGGAACTGTCAGAGTTTCCCTGTGGCTTTAGGGCACTTGAGTCTTGGTGGTGCAGACGCTGTGCCATCAAAGGCTGTGGGAACTGGTGAGACTGGAACTGGCAGTGTCCTCAAGCTTGGTGGTGGAACGTGCCTCCCAGCCAAAGCAGGCAGTGTGGACTGCTCCATGCCAAGCTCCCTGTGCTCCCTGGCCAGGTGTCCTTGTGCAGTGTGTGAAAGGTCAGGCTCCTGGCACTTGTGTTTTCCTTTTTTTTTTTTTGTTCCAAGATAGCTAAAAGACTTTCCCCTATCAGGTTTCCAGCATGTGGATTAGCTCTTTGTGCTTGGCCGTTTATGCCACATCCAGGGCTTGACTCCATTTCAGCCACATGCATCTCCTGCCCTCTCTCCCCAGTCTCCAGGGGCACAAGGGTGAGATGAGGCTGGACAGTTACTGAGATTTGTGAAGCAAGTTTTGTTGTTCAGGGAAGTAAAACTCCAAACTGACTGAGCTTCCCAGAGAGCAGGTAGACCTCCAGCCAGAGGCTCATGGCTTTGTGTTCCTGCCAAGGCCTCCTATGCCAAAGTGAGATTTTCCTTTGGCTATTTGAAGTCTCTGACTCCATGTAACAGTACTGGGAATGGCATCAGGGGACCTGATCAGGGTACTGCCCTTCTTTAGGGAAGTGAGACCTCTCCAGGGTCTGAGTTAAGAAGGAGGAGGGTTCTGCCCTCCAAAAGGGCTTGTAATATGACTGCTGCAGTGTGATCCAGGCCTGATGCAGGATGTTGCCTTATTGATGTTACACCAGAGGTGTTTCAGTGCAATGCTATAAATTGAGCCTGCTGTTTAGCCTGTGGCTTGACTGAACTCATTTTGTGTTGGTATCCTGCTGTGTAAGAAAAAAATCAGCTCTGAAGAGGTGGCAGCAGCTCTGGTCAGACAGAGGGCAGGGATGTCCTCAAAGGCAGCTGAACCTGGGATACACCTTTTCCACCTTCCACTGACTCTGATAAGGCAGCTAATAAGGCAGCTAAGTGTACCCTGCTGTCCAATATCTTGTGTCCTGGGCATCTTGCATTTTCTTCCTGCTGGGAATGCAAGTGCCAGATGGTTTTCTGTTCTTCCTCCCTCAGCTCAGTCGCAGACTGAAATGTGTGGGACTGCAGCCTCTTCCCTTCCCTCTCCTAGTGCTGAGGGATGCAGTCCCTGTCCCCACCTGTGTTACACCTTGGCCATGTCTCTGCAGTGCTCCTTCCTGGGAGCCTGGGTACCACTAGGAAGCAGTGACATGGTTAACAAGGCTCCCTTTCTGCTTTTGCAAGTTCTCTGTGAGCTCCCTGGGGGAATCTGCTGTCTCCACAGGTGTACCTTCCATCTGTCAGCCAGTTTGTTGAAAGGATTTTGACAGGCAACTTTCCTCCATAATCCTTAATAGCTTCAAATTTAAAATGTTTATGGCAAAGCTAATCCCACGAAACTCTCTGTAGTTTTAATAAATCTATCCTCCAGCAAGACTCTTCTGGTGAGAGGAGGTAAATCTGCTTCTTCCTACAGTGATACATATCTGCAGACGTGGCTGTGGGGCAGCTTTAAATCACCTGCTTGGTCCTCACTTAAAAACTGGTATCTCCACTCAGGGGGCACCTTGCTAAAAGCAAGACCTCATGGGGTTATCCACCTCCACAACTTCTGTCAGGACTGAAAACTGTTGGAGTCAGTGAGTCTCTTGTATGGCTGGGCACTCCATTTACAGCTGGAAGGCAAGAGAATAACTCAGGCTGGGATTCCTGGATGTTCCTAGGCCCAAATTCCTCACTCAAAGCAGGACAACTTAGGTGGGGAGAAGACCCCGAGTATCCTGATCAAGCTTTGAATATCTCCAAGGACAGACAATCCATAGGCTCTGGGGCAGGGGGACACCTTTTTTGTGCTCCAGTGTCTTCCAAAGATGGCTTTAACCTCAGAGGAACTTTAATGTGTGTTTGTGCAGGTGTCACTTGGGGGGAAGAATGAAGGGAGTCATTCTGTAAAAATGCAGATCTCTAGAGACCTCTGCCCTCGCAGCACCAGGCGAGCTGGGGACAGTGCCTGAGTGACCTGCCACGGGTATTTCAGTTGTGGTCAGGCCTCAGTGCGGGAGCAGCGTATCCCAGGGATCCCAGGGCTGTGTGGTTAAACAGCTGTCGTTAGCCTGGCTGGGAGAGGGGGGGTGAGGGTTATTCTGGCACCGGGAGCTGCCGGATGGCCCGGGCATCGCTGCCCTGCTTACCTTGGGCGGGAACGCTGGGAGCTACCTTGGCACTCTGCCCCATGCTCCTTGTCCTGTGCTCCTGGAGACTGCTGATAGTCACAGGAGATCCTGTCCTTGTTAACATGACACCCATTTGCCCCATCCCTCTGCCACCTTCTACCCTTGAGCAGAAGCAGTTGTGCTGGTTTGCACTGTGAGACCCTCTTCCATACAGAAAGGGGCTGTTTGCTGTTCCCCTGCCAGGCTGTGGAGCAACACAGGTCCAAACAACAGCAGGGGTGGGAGTGGAGGCTCTTCTTGCTCCTCTGCCTTGAAGAAAGAAGTAGGGGGGGTCCAGATCAGAGATCAGAGACTCTGCTTGCTGTGGGGGAAATTGAAGCTTAGCTGTAGCCTGGTTTTGGGCGGAGACATCAGCCAGGGCATGGCTGAAGAGCTGCAGGGGGAGTGAACGTTGTTGGAATGAGCAGGTCAATACAGTGTGAGCAAGTGTGAGTCATTCCAGGCCACTCAAGTGAGGTCCTGGGCTGGGCCATCCTCCACCTTCCAGCAGGAGCCGTTGGCCTGCTGATCCCCACCATAAACATGGTTATCTGGGTCCAGAGCAAACCTTGTCCTTACAGATCCTTGTTAGAGTGACTCAGTATTTGCAGAAGCCTTTCACATCCAAACCATTACCTAATCCCTGAGTGCCGTGAGGAGGCTCACAGGTTCCTGCTCTGCTGGCTGGCTTCCCAAGTGGCCGTGCCCAGGGTGTGGATGTGGTGGGGCAGTGTGCTCCCAGGGCATGGGGACAACAGCCATGCCCAGGCTCAAAGTGCCACTTGGCAGCTGAAACCATCCCAGTGGAGCTATTGTTGTGTCCTGTCTGCTCCAGGGGTGCAGAGACCCACACACAGGGCTCAGAGTCAAGGGGGATGTGAGCCCTTCCTGCCCATGAGGCAGGGCCATGAGGCACTTGGCCAGAGGTGCTGCCCAGATGGCTCCACTCCAGTGTTGCGGGAGCTGGAATGGGATTATTGTGATACCAAGTGTGATGCTTCCAAGGTAACTGAGATCACTCTGTGCTGTCGTCTCCGTAATCCGTCTGTTGTCACAGCACGTGAGGCAGGTGACGCTGTGCATTGACACTGTAACCTCAGTGAGGAAAATCCCAGGTGGGAAGGATGTACCCTCGCCATGTGAGCCTTAAGTCCTTATCTGTGCAGATGCCTGAGGCAGCTGTAGTTGTACCATCTATACATTCTTTGGGTGTCTCAGAAACACAGCCTGTGCTCATGGGAGGTGGAAGAGGTGAACACCCCATAGCTCTGGTGGTGTCAGTCCATGTGGCTAGCTCGTAACCCTGGACCATCTTCTCCCTCTTGCTTTGATTGTCCCTCTCACCGCATCACAGAGCCTGACTCTCCTCCCACAGATAAAAGGCATCTCTTTCCTAGAAGATTTTTCTCATTCTGGAAAATGCGTGATGGACAATACTTCGAAATGAACCCACTCCCCTTTTTCATGGGGGACTGAACCACGGCATGATTTCCTATCTGGCTCCTGCTGCAATGGGAGCAGATGCTGGATGACAGAGCAGGACTTTGCAAGCCAACTGCCTCCTGTCTCTCATGAGAGACTCACAGGAGCACCCAAGCAAATGATGGGAGTGTCAAGTGACTGGGGCTTAACCCAAGTGTCTCTCTTGTCTCTCCCTCTATCCATGCAGGTGACGGAGCTGAACGAGCCCCTGTCCAACGAAGAGAGGAACCTGCTGTCCGTGGCCTACAAGAACGTGGTGGGGGCACGGCGCTCCTCCTGGCGAGTAATCAGCAGCATCGAGCAGAAGACCTCTGCCGATGGGAACGAGAAGAAGATCGAGATGGTCCGTGCCTACCGCGAGAAGATCGAGAAGGAGTTGGAAGCAGTGTGCCAGGATGTGCTGAGCCTGCTGGACAACTACCTGATCAAGAACTGCAGCGAGACGCAGTACGAGAGCAAAGTCTTCTACCTGAAGATGAAAGGGGACTATTACCGCTACCTGGCCGAGGTGGCCACCGGCGAGAAGAGGGCGACCGTGGTGGAGTCCTCGGAGAAGGCCTATAGCGAAGCCCATGAGATCAGCAAGGAGCACATGCAGCCCACCCACCCCATCCGGCTCGGGCTGGCGCTTAACTACTCCGTTTTCTACTACGAGATCCAGAACGCGCCGGAGCAGGCCTGTCACCTGGCCAAGACGGCCTTCGACGATGCCATTGCCGAGCTGGACACCCTCAACGAGGACTCCTACAAGGACTCAACGCTCATCATGCAGCTCCTCCGCGACAACCTAACGCTCTGGACGAGCGATCAGCAAGACGACGACGGCGGAGAAGGCAACAACTAGACCCCCCGATGGACTGGCAGCCGCACGCTGATGCTAACTACTGCAGTCTTTATTTTTTTCCCACGAGTGGGGGGGGGTCAGGGGTGGGGGAGGGAAAGGGAGGGGACACCTTCCCAGGGAGGCCCCCCACAACCTGTCTTTGATTGCCTCGTTGACATTTTTGCCAAAACACCACTAGTGGAAGTCAGGCTGGCTGTGCTGGTATGGAATAGCAGCCTCACTGGCATATGGACTGTTCTGTAGATTATTAATACAAGTGGAGCTGTCTTTAATTTAACTTTATTGCTAGAAATAAAAGGGTTTTAAGATGAATTTGCGTGGATGGAATGGCCCTCGTTTTTAAGGAAAGCAACGCAAAAACATTAAAAAAAAAGACAAAAACAAAACAAACAAAAAAAAAAGGGAGTTCTGTGGTTCCAGTAAGGCTTCGTGCGTTTGTTTCCGCAGTCCAGGTGCCGTGTGTGTCCGCACCACGTCACGGGGCGTCTCTCTGCAGTGCTCTGCCCGCCAGGGCGCAGCCTCAAATCCCCAAATTGAGAAGGAATTAAAAATAAAACCAACAAAACTAAACAATTTGGGGCTCACAAAGCCCTGGGATTTAGGCCATCCAATCTTTCTCTTCTTTTTTTTTTTCCTTTATTTTTTTCTCCTCTTGTTAAGATATTTCTTAGGGTAGCTTACAGTATTAACACTAAATTGCAGTTTACAGTGTTTCTACATTACAGCCATATGACATCAAGCCTTTGATTGTCTGTTTTTCTTTCTTTTGCTAGTTCTTTTGGCTTGCCTTCCTGAGCAGTCCTGGCCTGTGGACTGGCTTTAGCTATTCTGTGTCGCCCAAGGCAAGAAGATCGACCGCCCGAGGAACATCAAAGCTGCTCTAGTTTTTTGGTCAACAGCTTAACAGGTGCTTGGCTAGCGGCTGTTTCAACTATTTTAAGTCCACAGCAAAAGGTTTAAGAACTTAATTAGACAAGGGGGAAGTGTTTAAACTTAAAGAAAAAATGCCACTTAAATAAAAAAAAATAATAAAAAAAAAAATTAAAAAAAATGAGCATTCAGGTCTGTATGTCATGTACTGTGTTTGGTATTTCAAAAGACCATCCTGGTTTAAGGTGCCACAGCTGCTTCCTCAGGGATTGCACTGCCATTTCACTCTGCCTGACTTTCTCCCACTGTACCATGAGGTTTGTCAGCAGATCTCCAGCACCCAGGCTCCCTTGTTTGTCACCAGGGAAGCCAGGTGCGTTTTCCTTTCTCCTGGGGAAGCTTGTGGTGTAATGAGTGAACTTCAGGAGCTTAGAAACTAATTTGGTAGAGAAATTCCTCAAGAGGAAGAGCTACAATCATAGACATTTCTATCCACCATCGGGAGCCCAGGAACTTAGTTCTCTTCTTAGCAAAATCTTTTCCAAGTCTGTCTGATCTGGCTGGGGGTGGGGGATGGGTCATCTGAGTTGCTTAGCAGGTAATATTTACCCCATTTTGAGTAAGTTTAGCTTTGATTTTGATTTTCCCATGGTCGTTGGAGGTTCACTGCTGTTCTCTGGCTCGCAGAGCGCTGCGCCCTGCAGCGCTTCACCCAACGCTGTGCAGTGAGAGGAAACCGCACTCGTGCTTTTATTCTTTATTAAATATTGGTCTGATTTTGGAAACAGGCTTTCATTGTCCCTTTGAGAGTCAGCCCAACACGGCGTCGTGGTGTGGCACACACGGCACAGCCGCTCCTGCTGCCGGGGTGTGCGGGGGGATGCGGCTCCGGCTCCCTCCCCGCTGTCCTGAAGCCGCTGCCCGGCTCCCCGGGGAGCGAGCGGGGCCAGGCCATGCTTGGCCCCCAGACACTGCCCCAGTGGTGCTGGAATAGCTTTTTCTGGCCGGTATTCATCCACCCAAAGTCAGGCCCAGGCGCTTTGCAGGAATTTGGGGTGCAGCATCCCACGGCGAGGGGCCCGCGGTGCCAGTGCGTGCTGGGACCGGGAGATGCTTTAGGCTTCTTACCTCCCTCTCATCGACCCCCGTGTCCCGTGAGCAGTGTTGTCCCAGCTGTACAATTTGGAAGTGATTTACTGGAATTACAAAACCTATCTTTTTTTTTTTTTTAAATTACTACTCTTTTTGGCTTTTGCTCTGGCTGCTTTAGGAAACTTATGCAGGAGAGATGGCACAAGAGGGCTAAAAACGGAGTGGGGGTCAGGGACTTGATTTTTAAGCAGCTTGAATGGTTTCTTTCATTTTTTAAGAGATGCACTTGCCTATGATACTGTCTCTCCAGTGAAATGATTACTGCTCCATTACTCTATTGATACAATATTGTGCATGCTAGTGTCGTATTTCTATACAGTAGCTTGAAATTTATTAACTTATACTGTAGATGTTATGTATTCCTATGACAAAATAGTCTTCAAAAATTTTCTAAAGTTTTTTAATTTATTTTTCTTTCCTTTTTTTTTTTTTGGGGGTAAAGTTTGCTCTACCAAATAGTGATCGTAACAAACTGATCTGTTATGGATGTTGCTATAGTGACATGCAATTATATATGATTTTGTTTTTAAAAAGGAAAAAAAAAAAGCAAAAGAAAACACCAGTGTTAGCTTAATCTTAATGTCTGGTGTTCGTCATGGTGAAATTATAACTATTACAGTGTAGGAGAACAATGACTGTGTTCTTTGAATGAGCCTTTGTTTGTGCTTTTTGTCATGTTATGCAGTGAACTATTTTTAAGGTCTAATCAGTGATTATTTTTCCAACTCCGTGTTTCTGTAAGGAATTATTTCACACACGGACCATTCTTAGCAGTTTTTCCTCAGTGATGGAATATCATGAATGTGAGTCATTATGTAGCCGTCGTACATTGAGCAAATAAACTTACAGATCTGACGTCAGCGCTGCTTAATTGTTATCGCCTGTGTCGAGTTTCTGGGGGGCTCCGTGGGGTGGGGAGGGCTCGGGAACAGCCGGGTGTCTGATCCCGGGGGCCACCGCCCTTCCGCCGGCGCAGAGGATCCCGGCGGATTAAGGGATCACCAGGCTCCTTCCCGGGCCAGAGGCGAGGGAAGGTGGGAGCCGCGGGGAGGGTTCCTGGATGCTCCCGTGGCCGCAGGGGTGGGTGTGTGGGAGCCTCCCCACCTCCCTCCCTGCCTTCCCTGATGGTTTTCCGCCCGGAGCCACACGCGCGGTGACTCACGCTGTAAAAATACTCCCCTCCCCGGGAAACTATAAACGGAAAATGCGCCCTGACTCACGCGCCCTGCGAGGGATCCGGGGGTGCAGGGTCGACACCCCCGGGAAGGGGCTGGGAATAACCCCTGGGTGACGGCAAAGAGGGGCTGGGGGCTCGCCGAGCACCCCCACGCAGAGAGAGACACCCCGAGCCCCACCCCGGCGCCGTGGTGCTCCGACAGCCCCCTCACCACGGCATTTTGGGACGTGAGAGCCACTGTGGCATGGCCACGGGAGAGAGGGGAGGGGGCTGGGGATGCTCCTGGAGGGGCTTCTTCCCCTGGAGACACGCTCGGGCTGGAAAAGCCTCGCACCCCCAGACACACACACACACATAGGGAGCCCCCCCAGGCACACAGGTGACCCCTGGCAGCAGGAACTGACCCCGGGATTGTGCCTGAGAGCTGCCAGACTGCTCACCCCTGAGACTGCTGGGGCAGAGGGGATGGAGGGGAAGGGGTTCGTGGAGCCCCCCAAACCCAAAGAGGGGCCTCGCGGCCGCGAGATTCCTCCCAGGTCACTGTCTGCCTCCGGGATGACTCAGGGGGGATTAGTGGGATTTGTCAGAGTGGGAACATCGAAGCCCTGGGCCTGACCTCAGCCATGTAGGGCCAGTCCTGCCCAGAGGCACGGGGGGCACAGGGGGCACAGGGGGCATGGGGCCAGCTGGGGCTGAACCCGAGACCACGACCCCCCTCTGCCCCAATCCAGCCCCCCAGTATGGCTGCAGCCCCTGAGCTGAACCCCCCCAGCTGGCCCCTCACCACAGTGGGATGGAAGGAAAGGGGAGCACTGGATGGCAGGGCTGGGGCTCAAGGGGCTGCATTGCTGGGGTTGTGGAGTCCCCAAGCAGAGCTTCTGCCCACAAAGCCCCTGTTTGCCCTCTGGCCCCCCTGTGACCCAGAGGGCAGGGGGTGTGTGCTTGTTTTTCAGGGATGTCACCCAGGACATATTCTGATATTGGCTGAGAGCCAGCGTTGTGGAGACCAGGGAGGGTGAGACCCAGGGCATTTGAGCACCCTGAGGGTGCACCCAAGAAGGTGAGACTCTCTTGGCATTTGAGAGACCTGGGATGTAGGAGAGCCAGGTTGTGGAAACCTGGGATGCTGAGCCTGGGATGTTGGAGACCAGAAATTTTTGAGACCCGGGATGTAAAGACCTAGGATACTGGAGGCTGGAATGTGAAGAGCTGGGGTGTTGGAGACCTGGATGTGGGATATCCAGGATAGGGAGACTCAGGATGTTGACCCCAGGTGCTGAGCAGGGCTTGGTGACCCCCCCCACTGGCCCCAGGCAGCCCCATCCTGGTGCTCTGGTCCCAGTGCCTGCAGTGCAGCTCCTCCCTGCCGGGGGACACACACAGGGACAAGTTTCTTTCACCAGTTTTTATTCCAGCTGATAATGTCGGTTCCTTCACATTTATTCAAGGCACTCGGTGACAGGGCGAGTACAAAATCAACAGTAAAAAGGGGGCGGGTGCGAGGGCGCAGCTGGGGGTGGAGGCGGCGGCGGCTTCTCCTCCTCCTCTTCCTCCTCCTGGGTGCCGCCTACTTCTTGGCTGGTTCCTTGGCTTGGCTCTCGACGGTGACGGGAATGGTGATTTCCGCGGACTGGATGGCGGGTTTGGGCAGGGGGGCCTCCACCGTGAGCATTCCATCGGGGGACAGCGAGGATCGCACGGCCGTGGCTTCAACACCGGGGGGGAGGCTGTGGGGGAAGAGGGGGGGGTCAGGGCCGCAGCACCCACTGCCCCACCTACACCTCCCAGGGATGTGACAGCCCCAAACTGCTGCCTCCCCGCTCCCAGTTTGGCCAGTGGGCACTGAGGGGGTGGGTGGGCAAAGGTCCCCAAAGACATCGAGGTGCTGCCCAGGATCCCAGCTCTCCTCCTCCCTGGTACTTACGTGTATTTTCGGGTGAAGCATCTGGAGATGAAGCCGTGTTCATCCTGCTTCTCCTCGTGTTTGCCTGCAAGGAAACAAAACCCCGGGATGGTTGGAAAGGAAACACCCAGCTGAGGGGGGGCAGCCTTCCCACCCCATCCCGACATTGCCTGACACCAGGGAGGGGCTGATTCTGCCCATCCTGATGTTTCTTGCCATAATATGAGCCTGAAGCAGCTGTGGGGTACCAGGGGCAGTGAGGCCCCTCTGGGAGCATCCCCCAAATTCAAGTGGAGCAA